TCCTATTGTTTTATGAAATTTGAAAACCTGTAAACTGTGGTTCATTGCATATGTATACTCAAAACTGTTTTCACATGCCACCTTTGTTTTGATTGCCAATTGGGTGTGAGTGATTGGATGGCTAACTTATCTACTCAAAACTTCATTTATTAAAATTTGTTCTCCATTAAAGGGATTATCATCAACACAACTTGGTACTGAAATTGGTTATCATGACATAATTTTAGAACTCATCTAAGATAAAAAGTATCCACAAAGGTAAAGGATCCTAAACGATTTCTCTTTTGAAAAGCCTCAAGTGGGGTGTGAGGAGACTCAGGTGACTAAACTTATTTGCATAGATACCATTCACATAATGGTTAACAACACATCAGAGGATGAGCCACACACGATCTTGTGTTCCACAAAAACCATATTTTCTCAGATTGTAAGAGAATACTAACGCTCTGTTTGGTTGAGGGATTTGGAGAGGGATTTGGAAAGAGAAAGAGAAAAGGTGTGTGAAACTAGGTGTAATATAGGCATGTTTGATTCACATTTCACCTACATTTTCCATTTCCCTTTTCAAATCCCTTCTCAAATCCCCCAATCAAACACGGCATAAGAGTCTGCCCCATTGACAGCTACCTAAAATGAAGACTAAAGAGAGGAAGACAACTTTTCAATTAGCACATAGCGTTTGCTTTCATTATGAAATGGCTTTAATAGGTATAACTAAAGTCTGTCTTGATATCATGTGATGCTCATGTTTTAATTCTTATCGTTTGTTTGGGGAGCACTTTTTTGTATGAGAGTAGTTTTGGTAAGACAAGGGAGTAGATGAGTGTATTATTTCAATCTCAAATGGGCTTTATGCCAACTTCAATTTCACATCAATCAATGTTTCAGGTTTTATGAAAGCATAGCACATTGACCCCACTAGGCTGAAAAAATAACTTTGATAAGATTGATACAACTTCCCAACTTATAAAAATAATAAAACCTCTATAATTCATAGTATTATTGGTGTGTGACATTATTGGATGTAAAGGACCACTTGAAGAAGAAAATAAAAATAGACTCTATCAAACTTTTAGTTCGCAAGATAAGATTGTGAAGGGTTCCATGTCAAATTATCATTATAGACTCTTTCAGGGCCTAGCTATGTCTTCTAACCAATCAAATTAAAGTAAAAAGGAAAATTTGTTAATTGGTATGAGATAACTGATAAATTTTATGAAAGTTACATCAAATTGAACATTTTAAGAAATCCAACAATACATAACTTAGAACATACTATAATATCTTTCATACTCAATTGAATGTCACTCAACCACATAAATATCCACAATTAAATCTACGATCATGGGACATTTTTGATAGATATATAGGTGGCCTCAAACCATTAGAGTTAGCCAAATACCTCCCTTAGAAATCATGAGTTTGGCTCTTCTTTTCTTTTCAATCAAGGCCGGCCATGGGGCAAGCTTACGAAGCCAATCACCTTAGAGCCTCTCTAGTGAAGAGCTAAAAGAGCTGCTATAGGTAAAAGAAAAGGGATAATTGGCGTAAAGTCTACACCTATGGGGAAATGGAAGAAAAGTTGGTTAAGTAAAAAAAATTAAAAAAAATAGCAACCTGACCATTAGAGCAACATTGCTAAAATATAATTTTTTGACACTATTCACTATTCATTGTTAAAATATAACGTTAGCTACTAAATTTAGCTATTGATCATTGACAAGGTCTGTCACGACCCGAACCCGCCCCCATGGGTTAAGGACGTAACCGGCCAGTAATCCTAAGATTACCTACGGCCTCAAACCAAAACAGACTTAACACATCAGAGTAAAGGGGCCAAAAGGGAAGCAAAATTTATCTATAATGGCGTTTTTCATAAACGCCATAAAAGAAGCGTCGCAATATCCATCTTTTCCTGTAGTGTAATCTAAGTTCACCATCTAAATTAAAGAATATATAACAAATTCTTAGTTGAGTGACACTTGAAAGTGCCACAAAATTATTCCTCTAATGACATTTTTTTAGTCTTCTGATATTTTGAACAAGTGCCATTGATACCAATTCCACGATAGATACTAGTGGCATTTCAATGACACTTGTAATTGTCACTGCACCATGATAGTTTTGAAATCTTTTGTGGCATTTACAAGTGCCATTATTTATTTATTTATTATTGTGAATGCCACTCAAGCTTATTTTAGTAGATAGCATAATAGCACCATTAGGCAATTGTGGCTGCCACTAAAGATTAAAAAAAAATAATTAAAAATTAAAAATTAAAAATGTATTATATACATGATATTTGGAACTCTAATTCGCAAATCTTGTTCTTTTAGAAACTAAATAAATAAAATTTTATCTATAAAATATAATGTTACACCCCACTTTTTAATTACTCGAATTCCATTACAAAATTCTTATTATAAACAATTTCAAAGATAGCAAACCAAGGTCCAATATCTTAGCAAATACAAGAAAATAAAGTTTTTTTCAATAGTATACTGAATAATGCAACATGTGACATGATTACAGTAAATTACCCGCAAGCTTACATCATTACATGAAAGAGAAAGGGTTCAACCCTTTTTACAACAATGACATTCATCCAACAATTAAAAGGGCCCGTGGCCAACAGATAATGAAGAAACACTTCTCGATGTTTACCTGAAAATGGATTAGCAACGTGAGATGAACTTAAAATCCAGTAGGGATCCTAACATAATCCTACACAGTAAGAACTTACAGATAGTTATGATGATGAATGTTTTAAGTCATACCATATACATAAGTGTCGGTTTATACTTGAAAATATACTAACATAGATATTTTCCTCAAAAATGCTCAATTTGTTCAACAACACAACCATTCGTCTTTCCTTCTTGTTACCTTTTCAATTTTAAACTCACCCGACTACAATTAGTTTTCGAAACAAATCCATAGAACCCAATTACGTTTCCTTCAATTACCGAACTTACACTAATTTCATTTTACAATTTCCGAATAGAAGTATCCTGAACGAACATGAAGACAATACAAATAAGATACCCCTCACATAAGCATATAAGACAAGTGACATCCTCTACAAAATAATCATCACTATGCATGAAACACATAAAGAGAACGGAGATAATAACAAGAAACCCAACAATGCCCTACCTGCCTCAAGCACGGTAAGCCAAGGATGGACATTTCCAATACTTACGCCAATTTACCAGTCACTAGCTGGAAGATAATGGTACCTCTGCCAAGTTCTCCAGACGCTAGTTGGACGGTATTGGTACCCCACATTCTCAGCGCAACCAATTCTCCAAGCGCTAGCTGGAAGGTAATGGTATCCCATATTCTCAGCGCGTGCATATTTTCAACCATCACATAATTTAACAAACAAACATAATTCGAGTGTACTACATACAAAAAATCTATCCAACATCACAATGCCATTCTCCAACGATGACCAAGGACAAAATATCTAAGCAATAATGTTTAAACACACGTAACACGATAGTCCGACGCTCACTTGGCCTTAAATCCAACAACAATGATAATGATAATAATATTCAAATATTTCAAAATCCAACCTCAAGTTCAAGTTCTAAATTTACAATATATCATGGTTTTGTTCTTTTCTTCAAAATCAACCCTTTTGTTTTCCAAATTAACCTGTCCAATTATTTTTCTTTCAAAAAGACCAATTTCCACACTTTCGATAAAACCACATCCATGGATTTCAAGCCATAACCCAACTCAACTTAGCATGATTACCCAAATAAATTCTTATACCAAAATTAATTCACTCCTTTAAACTACAAACACAATAACACAACTCAATTTATCAAAACACAATCTTTATTCAATTTTACCTCTTTTTAACTCGTTTGGTCAATTTGTCAAATTAGGGCTTTCTCTTTCTCTTAACATAAACACATTAAACCACTCCCCAACTAATCAAACAACAACCAATCTAATCTATTTGAATCCCAATGATCAAACCCTAGATTCCCTTTCATGATTTTCAAAAGATCCATAATAGATGTGATTTTTATGCAATAAAATCTACCACATGTCTATCTATAGACGAAGTATTGAAAAAGAACAAAAAAATCCCTACCTCAAGCAATAAAGAGAAGAAAGCCTGAAAATCCAACTTCAATGAAAACACAATCTGCTCAGATCAAATGGAAGCCCCATCGAGCTCTATGTCTTGGTATACGGAACTAGCGGTCAAAGATATATAAAAGTAGATGAAAGTAGAAAGAGCTTGAAAGCTCAATAATTGCAGAAGGAGAGAGAAGAGTGAGAGAAAAGTGATCCAGATGTGACCAAAAGTGACTTTTATAGTTGCTGAATTCGGACAGACTGTTAGAGTGCAAGAAGTGTCGCTTGAGTGTCCAAACACAACAAGATGTGACCGCTCGAGTGCAAGAATCATTGCTCGAGCGAAGAATGTGTTGTCCCAGTTTAAACACTTCTTGAGCACAAGAAGCTTCGCTCGAGTGTAAAGACAAAATTCAAGGCAACAACAGTTTTAAAAGAAACAAGCAACCAACTTGCTCCAAATGCAACCAACACATCCCAATAACCAAACTCAATGAGGAATAAAGGGAAACAAGATATGAACAACCATATAAGATAATGAAACCCATATCCAAAATATCAACGGGTCGGATCTAAACTAGAGTTGCCCCCCTTAAAGAATTTTGTCCCCGAAATTAAAGGTAAGGCCGAACAAAGGCAATTCAAACACAACTGGAAGCACAACAACCCACTACAGATGGGATCCATACTTGGAATAGATTCATGGATTCCAACTCACATTTTATGACCCCAAAAAAGTACTGATCGTTTTCAAACACCGCTCGAGAGCAAGAAGTTTCGCTCGAGCATAGAGACAAAATTCAGGGCGACAACAGTTTTAAAAGAAACAAGCAACCAATTCGTTCCAAATGCAACCAACACACCCCAATAACCAAACTCAATGAGAAATAAGGGAAAACAAGACATGAACAACCATATAAGACAATGAAACTCGGATCCAAAACATCAACGAGTCGGATCTAAGCCAGAGTTGCTATATATAAATACAACATCCATGAAATGAACAACATAAACTCATAAAAATCAATTGTAATCTAACTTACATATCCCAAATCAAAAAATAAAAAATAAAACATAAAAATTACAATGACATCTAATTTAAACAACTCAGGTACTTCATATATCTTGAACAAGTGGATGTATGTCAAACCCATTTGATTCAATCAACCCCAAAAATAAATGTTGATTTCCTTTCACCGTTTACTCTGTTTCCTTTCATGGCATGATTGAAAGAGCTTCATGCTTCCTCATTCTTCCAAAGCATGTAAAACATATAATCTCCATTAGTGCCACTTTCCCAGTTGCACTTTGTTGATGATTATACTCAAACAATTTTATTTCCTTCTGCAAGAACACAAATTCATCCTTCAATTAGTTAAGAGATTAATATATTTCAAAAGCACATGGCAATGAATTTATTAATGTTCAGTAACAAATTGATTAATAAGAAATAAATCAAGTAACAAGAAACAAGTACCTTAAGATCATTGAAGAATTTTTAAAGTAACACTCTGAACAACAGTTCCAAGACAGTCAATGAGTTCCTCTTTGGTCATTCCAATACCAATGTCTTTATGAACAAATAAATCCATTTTAAGAAGCCACTTTTGTTATCCGATAGAGTAAGAAAAAGAAAATATGCAAGGAAAAGAAAAGGTCAGAAATAACAAAAGAAATCATCATACATTATAGCGATTGTCATATTATCTATGATGAATGTTTGATGTAAACCTCTAGTTTCCCAATATCTCCACATTCAAAGTTAGCTATTTTATTGAGTAGAAAATAAAACAAGTCACACTTAAATCCCCAAAAAAATAATAAATAAATACACGAGCACACCACTTTGAGGCAATTTATCAAACATGTGAAAGCCAATTGAAAAAATAATCACTGACTACATTTTTCAACCGTAATAGATTGTTAAGACTATATAAACTGTTATTGCTACTATGCAATTCTAGGCTTATAAAACTTAAACAGTTTTGTAGAAATTACTTAAAGTGTCTATAATTCTAAAACTCAAAATTCATTACAACATGTAAAGGTTCGGAAAAAATTCATGATAGACACACCTAAAAAGATGCAAGCCATATACTCTTTCATAATTATACCATAAAATTTTATAATAAAACCACAATGGTTTTTTTAATGTTCATGACATAACTACAATAATTCGTAACTAGGACTATTCTTATGGTTCTCTCCTTTGTAAGTACACAATTGTTCGTAACTAAGATCACAAAAATTCATTACTTTTCTTAGGATAAGGGAAGTGCATAATTGCATTTCTAAAAAATTTCACCATTAATTTTTTATTACTTTTGTACTAACTAGTCTCTTAGCTTGTATATGAATCATGAATTTGGAAAGGAAAAGAAAATGTGAGAATAGTGTAAGAATAGTGTTGCACTTTAATAATTAGTACCATGGTTATTTAAATTTAGCAAATTACAAAGAATGTAGTATTGATGGGCAACAATTACAGCTTCTGTACAAAGTCCCATTGCTATTCCACCTAATTTTGAATCACCACGCGGCCAATAATTCTAGTTCCAAAAGGACAGCTCATATAAGCATTTCATCAAACAACTTATATGCATACAATAATCAAGCAGTTTTGGTAATGAGTTGATCCTAATAGTCATTTAAGCATTGTACCACAGATTAACAATCTGTAAACAAAAAAAGAAAGAAAGAAAAAGATTTTGATATAGCAAGATATTGCTTTAAAATACAATTATATTAATATCCTAAGATTTAGATAGTACATAAACTATTTCAGCACCCGTAATTCATAACAAATAAAACCAAATCAACAAGTATATGAGAAATTGATCTGTATAGGCTTACAACCAATGCACAACCCAAAATCTTATTGTAAGTTGCTTAGTGAAAACCAAAAAGATAATACCTCATAGGCATCAAAATACCTCGTTCGGATCAAATTCACCGTTGTTGCTACTGATGCTTAAAAGTTTTTCCATACAAAATCTTGTCCTCTAGAAATCTGGAAAAGAAGGGAGGGGTGCAACAGACCTAACTTATTTAGTGAGTTACTTTTTCGATTGTTAAATAGCGATTTTTGACATCATATTACAGCTGATTAATCACTTCACACAATGACATATATTATTTGAATGTTTTCATTATTTTTTCTTTCTTGATTTAAATGTTGTTATGTGATTCTTTTTTGGTTATGATAATCCAACTACAACATATTTATACTTAATTTTTTAAATAAATTTTATATAATTTATATTTCTACATATTTTTATCTTCCAAATAAATATATAAAAATTAAATAGTTAGAATTACTTTCAATTTTATGTTACTAATTCTTCTTTCTACTTAACAATTATTTTTAATATCAAAATGAGTATTTATTTTTGTATTTTATAATTTAATATATATCATACAAAATTATTATATGATAATTATACTTTTATAATACAATAGAACTAAAATGATCAAAATACACAAATAACTTAACTAAAATTAATATATATAAATATTTAAGTCATAATTTTATAAAATAATAGCGCCAATATTATCAAAATAAATAATTAAAATCATACTTTAATTTGAATTTGAATTTGAATTTTGAATTAAAATTAAAATTATTCTTTTATAACACACGTACCATCAAATATTTTTTGGAAAAAAAAAATATAACACGTGCATTGCACCAGTCAACTGCTACTATATATATAAAAGCAATGTTTTTTCCTGTCTTATGTGACAATTAAAATTAAAATTATTCTTTTATAACACACGTTGTATCATCAAATATTTTTTGAAAAAAAAATATAACACATGCATTGCACGGGTTAACTGCTACTATATATATAAAAGCAATGTTTTTCCCTGTCTTATGTGACACATTTTAAAGGCTTAAATTTTTTCTTTTTTCCAAAAAAACCACATCAGACCTTTTTTATTTAGATATAATAAAATTGTACACAAACTCAATTTCAATTATAATAACTAATTTTATATGGATTCTATTTGAGAAATACATATTTTCCATATATAATTATAATTTAATTATTATGACAATTGAAAAAAAAACTACCTCGATATACAAATAATTAAATAAATAAGATAGAGTGTGCTTAATTATGTATCACAAGGATCAAATTAAAATTTTTTTGTCTCTTATTTTTTGCCTTAATATTAATTTATACTTAATTTTTTTTTTAACACGAAATTATCTATTACAAAACATTTATATTTAATTTAAATTTTATATACTTATATACAATACCTATGAATAATTTGAAAAGAATAACAAAGAAATAATCAATACTCTACATAATTAATTTATATATTTTCTTTTTAATCCAATCACAATATATTTATATTTAATCTTTTAAATAAATTTTGTATAGTTCAATTTCTATATATTTTTATTTTTCAAATAAATGAAAAATTAAATAATTAGAATCACTTGCAATTCTATATTACTAATTCTCTTTCTAATTTGACTATTATTTTTAATATTAAAATGAGTGTTCGTTTTTGTATCTTATAATTTAATATAGGGCGCTTAGTCGAAAAGTCCAAATTTGAATTTGTTTGGTCAAACAGTCCACGCATTAAATGTTTTGTCCAAAAGGACAAGCCTAGATAAAATGACCAAAATACCCCTATATATATCATATACACAGTAATGCGTCACATACATCACAAAATCTCTCTCTCTCTCTCTCTCTCTCTCTCTCTCTCTCTCTCTCTCTCGCTTCATCTCCACCACCACCGTCCTTCCTGCCATACCTGGTTCACTATCTAGAAACACCACTCTTGCGAAGATTTGGAGTCCTAACATGATTAATCCAAAATCTTACCATACCAAACAATAACATTAATCCCAAAAGTCCTCTTTCCCATTGAACTACATATCAAATATTACAAATTTTCAGATTCTTGTCTTACTTACAACAACATTAACATAGTTCAAGATGCTAAAGGATAAAAATAATAATACTTTAATGGCGTACAAATATCAAGGCACAACCTTGTTACAATAAAATGGACACGCGGTCCTAAAACACAAATGCTCGGAGCTTCCACATAACACATCCATGAGCCTTCATGCCCCAATAAAACAAAGAGAGTCCACCTCTTTCTCATAGGGGTGGCTGCACATCACTAATTCTTGAAATTATTAGATACGAATGAGTTAGATGCTTGGTAGAAATACTTTTAACAAAGTATCTAATTATTCAAAAATCCATATGGCATTATTACAACCAAAACATTTTCTTGTTCAACTCATGTTAAAGGTTTAAGCAACGAAACTTAGATATTTTAATTTTCATGAAAAAAAAAATCACATTTCAACATTGGGGGGTAAATATGTCATGAAGCTCTTAAGTAGAGTCCCAATACATGCATATACATAGGTCTATTTCAAAATATTCCCACATTTGCCAGCTATTAATACGGCAGGGAATAAACATACAAAATCATCCGTTTTTTCACTTTTACCAACTACAATACGACAGGATCAATGGATACCCAAAAACACTTTCCCACATTCGTTTGGCAATAAGCTCAAGACAGGGCAATTGGGCACCTAAACTTTCCACCGCACGAGTACTAACAATACACAACTTTTTCCAAAAATCGACTCCCTACCTGGACTCACATGCTATTTACCACCCATTTAAACAGCCTTTCCAAGATTTCCAAACATTCATACATTCTTTAGGTAAAGGGTAATGTACACCTCTTAAGTAATTTAATGGAGTAATGAGAAACAATATTCATAATTCAAGAAGAAAAAAAAAATCTCAAGAGATTCTAATTTCACAAGTCTCAATCAATACATATTCAAAATATCATAATCCATTCATCAATTTTAAAGAATTAAAAATCAATTTCATCTTTTCTCTAAATTTTACAACTAGGGTTTTCATAAATTTGGGGCTTTTACCCGTAAATCATGTTAAATGCTATTTCCTAACTAAAATCTTCAAAATCCATAGCCATATAGAAATCTTAAGAAAATGTAGAAAAAAAATTTATTTTTGAAACAAAACCCAATTTTGTAAACTCAAACATTAAATTACAGCATCAATGTCATAATAGCACCACATAAACATCCTCAAAATAAAGAGATAAAAGATTAAAAGTAATCCTACCTCATAGATAAAAGTAGAGAAGCTAGATCAAGTTGATTCCTTCAAAAAATCCAAAATCCAAAATCCAATCGGTCAAAATGTTGATCTTCAATTGTTCTTCATCTTTAATGCAAGATCTATGGTGGATTCTTGGTGAAAAATAGATGAAATCAAGGTAGGTGAAATCAAGGTTCGCGTAAAGAGCAAGAAACAACTCCCATGAGACAAGATAAGGCAACCTAATGATATCAGGGATAGAATAACTTCCAATAGAATTACAATCGCCACTCCAAAATCTAGTTCGAAATCTAAAAGAAACTTTCACATTTCAGTCCCACACTAGTATTTTGACAACACACCAAATGATGTGAACAACAATTCGAAAGTGGTGTGCCTCTCTTTCAACTCATTCACAAGAATTACCTCTACGAGCCACAAGAACCCATCAATCCTACGAGACAAAAGTCAGGCAAAATGTGTTACTAACTTACCCTACAGTACTCGCGTCTCAAACGACTCAAACTCAAGAGAATAACTCTTAGTTATCTAACAACCTAAAATCTTAGAAAGGTAAGCTCTTACATCACATTTACACCCCAAGAAACCTATCGGTCGCTCGGCAACCAAATTTTCAAACAATTACCTCACAACACTTCATAAGTCCTCAACCCCCTCCATGAGAAGAAAATATTCTAATAAGAGTTCCATCTGCCAATCACGGCCTTCGACGAAACACAGCCCAACAAAATCAAAGTACCACGAACTACGTTCTTACAACACAGCTAGTATTCCATGTTCACACCTTTAATCAATTGTGTTTTTTTTTTTTTCCTTCTTCTTCTTCTTCTTCTTTTTTGAAATACTTAAGAACCAAAAACACTAAAAAATAATATTTCCTGACTTTTAAAGGAGATTATTCTTCATTGAAAACTTTATATATATATATAAAATGTTTTAGATGCGTACAAGAGAATTGCAAAAGTGAAGAGTTTGAAAAAGAAATTTATTTATTTATTTATTTATATATATTGTTTGAAATAGTTAAGGGTTATACACATCATAAGACTCGATACGCCCTTTTTATGACTATTTCTCCTTTACTCACTAATTTATCAATAACGATAAATTATCAATTTCGGTAAAAACAAGGTCATACTCAATAGAAAAACTCCATTCTCAAACATATTTCAACCAGTGACTCCCAAATGTCACCCAACTAATGATCCCATCACCATGGTGTAGACACCTCATTTTTTACCGACCTTAAGACTTAGACGTCATCGATTGAGCTCTCGGTGATTGCGCATGCTGTGCTCGTTTCGAGGTTTTGGAGTTCTTGGCCGAGAGCCTCACCTCCGGACCTCGAGACCCTTTGTGCTTTGCCTCGATTTGCGGACCAGGTCTTGCTTTCTCTTCCCGGAGGGAGGGAGAGGTCTTGTAGACCATCTCTCAGTGGCCGTAGGCTACTTTTCGTGGTCGCAGGCCACTGTTCCCGTTTGGAGACCAGTTTTCGATTTTCAGAGCCGTTGGCCGCGCGCCTCGGTTCGGGACCGCTTAACATTCTCCGTTTGGCACGATTTTTGGCACACACCTTGCTTCCTCTCTCTAGAAGGACACTGTGGCCCGGGAGACCACCTTTGTGGTCATACGCCACTTTCGATGCTTAACAGCCTATTTTCGGGGCATCCGGCCGCGCGTTTTGCCCCCCGAACCCTCATTTTGCATCGGTGTTAGTTCATTTTTGGCATGAACCTTGTTTTCATTGTTTGGAAGGTGGTACAAGGGTGGGAGACCACCTTTTCTCCTTGGAGACCACTTTTCCCCACCAACCGATTTTCTTGTCGGGCAACTGGTCTCCTTGATTTTTTAGCCACAGTTGCTGGTCTCCCACCATACCACTAGCTTGCATTCAGTTGGGAGACCATCAAATGGAGCTGCTGACCACCTTTCATTGAGTTGAACCTTTTGAACTGGTCGGCCGACTAGGGGAAGTGGTCGGCCGACCACCTAAACTGGTCGGCCTACCTCCTCCAGTTTTGTCTTTGTGA